GGTCGCTACCTGCGTCGAATGTGCGCGGCGAAAGCCGCCACCCCGGGTAAGCCGGGCGCCCCTACAGCCCATCACGGTGACCAGGGTCAACGAATTGGTTGCGTTGGACATCCTGGGACCACTGCCGGTCACGCCACGGGGAAATAAATACCTGTTGGTCGGAGTCGAGTACTGCACGAGGTGGCCGATGGCGTGGGCCCTCCCGGACCAAACGGCACAGACCATCGCCGATGCCTTCGTGGGAGGCTATGTCCTTGATAAGGGGGCACCGGAGCGGTTGCTCACGGATCAGGGCAGGAATTTCTCCTCACAGCTATTGAAGGACGTCTGCTCTATCCTGGGCACTAAAAAGGTCCGAACATCTCCGTATCATCCCCAGACCGATGGGATGGTAGAGCGGCTTAACCGCACCATAGCGGCCATGCTGTCCCAAGTGGTGGACGAAAACCATTCCGACTGGGACCTCCACATTCCATCTGTCTTAGCGGCGTACAGGGTGGCCCCACACGCGGCGACGGGGTTCTCGCCGTTTTTCCTGATGTACGGACGGGATCCCGTTCCGCCTATTGAGGTGCAGCTGACGGACATTCCCGCAAGAGCCGACGCATGGCCGAAGGCACTAAAGACCTCCCTCATTTATTTGAGAGAGGCCCGCCAAGCAGCCGAGGCCGCATCGGCCACGAGCCAAGAGAGTAATGTACGGATACGGGAGAGGACAGTGACAGCCAAGCCCTTTAAAGTCGGGGACCAGGCATGGCTACACTGTCCTCAGGTGCCGGTTGGCCTCTCACCAAAGCTGCACCGACCCTGGAAAGGGCCGGTCGAGGTCATTAAAGCACTCCGACCGCAGTGCGTCCAGGTCCAACTGGGTAAGCGACGATGGTTTGTACACCCCACCCGCCTTAAGCCATACATCTCTCCACCGTCATCTTCACCAACATCACCACCAACATCACTGCCAACATCATCATCATCCCTACCCAGGCCAAGGTCGCCGACCACCACGCGCCAACCGGCAGGGGGTTCGGTGCCCTGTGTTCCGTTGTCACCTACAGCACCCCATGTGAGGCCTGACGGAGCGGCAGCACGAGCGGGGGCCGGAGAGACAGCGGCGCCAGGCAAGGCGACACCGGCACCACCGAACCAGGGACCGCGACGAGAGGGCCTTCGAAGGAGGGGGCCGCCACGGTCATCTGCTGCCTGTGGATGTCCGGGCTGTTACGGGATGCTGGCTGGAGACCTGGGCAGGCCGCGCAATTGATTTTGTTGTGTTATGTTGCATTGTATGGTTGTGGGGGGGGGGGGGGGGGAAGGGCTGTCGTCACTGTCAGTGGTGGGAGGCATGGGGAGATTTAAATGGTCCATGGGGGAGGCAGAACCGAGGACGGTTATTTTTTCTCCGGGGGGGGGGGGGGGGGTGATGTAGGGGTGTCAGGGGAAGGATTCCCACCAATAGATGGGTTAGTGGGAGGGGTGATCGAGGAGATATAAGGAGAGAACGGGCGGGAAGAAGGGGCCTTTGGCGGGAACGATATTGGGACGGCTGGGGGACAGGTGTGGATGGAAGGAAAGGAATAAAGGACGAGACCCCTGCAATCTGGTGTCGGCTCCTACTTTACACATACACCGCACACCTGCAAGCAAGGGGGACTGCTTAGAGGTTGAAAAGCTGACAATTTACGATAGCTTGCTTTGCATGGAAGGCACACATACCATTGGTGCAAGGTGACGTTTAAAACAATTAGGTTTGATAATATCCAGAAGGGCCAGTTAGGGTGAGGTTTTGAGGTTTATTATAAAAAGACGCCATTTTGGTTTGCAGGAAGTCTGACTGGAGTCACAGACTGCGGAAGGCCGGAGCCTGGAAATCAGAAATCTTGCCATTACCTGAGTTACTAGTGTCATCAAACGAACCCAATTTCCACCACGAGCAGGATCATGGATCAGGACCTTGATGAGGATTCACTCGATTCCGAAAAATGTGATAGTGATGTCATATATGTGATGGAGAAGAATGGAGTGGCCAACGAGGTGTCGGCGAACGCAGGGAAGGCCAGAGGACGCTCGATGGGCCAGTTTTGGCACTACTTCAGTGATGATCCGGAACCGCACAAGTTGAAGAGCGCCATCTGCAAACATTGCCGCACCAGATTCAACCATCACAAGAAGAGTGAGCAGGTGGAGGCACCTGAATGCATGCGCCACTTTTCGGAGGGCAATGAATGGCACCGAGATAGATGATTTTCCTGAGTAGTATGCGTCTAACAAGAAGTGGGCGAAGCCATTGAAGGCAAGCGGCAGCTCAACTCCATCTATATCGAATGCCTCGTCGATGAAGCAAGGATCGATCAAAGATCACCTCATACCCAAGCTCGATAAGCGAAGGAAAAGTTCGAGCAGGCCATAGCAATGCATTACTTTATCTCGGGCACGTCGTTCCAGCGGGTCGAGGAGGAGAACCTGGTGATCGCTGTGAAGGCCCTTCGCCCAGATGCAGTGCTGCCGAACAAGAAGAGGCTGGCCGGACCATTGCTCGACAGGGCGTACATCGACATGAAGAAGGTTGACAACGTCCTGGACAATAAGTCCGTTTGCCTGACATCTGATGCGTGGTCAAGCATCAAGAATGATCCGATTGTGAAGTACATGATCACATCGCCGTCCACACCGTTGTTTCTCGAGTCGGTGTCCACTGGAGAGCAGGGCCACAACGCTGACTGGATCGCCTCGGATCTTCAACATGTGGTGGCGTCCCATCTGAAGACTATATTCACTGGCACGGTCACCGACAACACATCCACCAACAAGAATGTGGGAACAGCTCTCGAATGCTCACCCATCCGATGTCCAAGGCTGTACGTCGCATGTTCTGCATTTGCTTGTCAAAGACATTGTCTGCCACGAAGACGATGAAAGCCGGCCAATCAGAACACACATCCTTGATCGACTATCTGTTTGAATACCTGCTTGAGTTCATAGTGGGGTGCAAGGACACGGTCAAATTGTTTCACAAGTCACGTTCTCAAGGCACAGCTGCAGGCTGAACAGAAGATCGCTGGCGTTCGAGCATTAGTCCGGCCGGCTCTTACACGTTGGGGAACGATAAAAGGCTGTTGCGAGACGCTGTTGTCGTCGGAGAGGATTCTGCATTCCATTGTCACAGCTCGCGACTTCATCAAGGGGATGGCAGCTCAAAAATCCGAGCGCATGCGAATCAAGACCATCATTACGAGCGACAACTTCGTCTCTCTATTGCAGATGTCCCTCGTCATTCTCACGACCATCGACGCATTGATTGTCAAATATCAATCCGATTCCGTACTAGTCTCTGAAGTCTTGCCGGATTTTCACGCCCTCCCTGCTGAGGTTGCCAAGCTGCACGAAGGCGGTCATACGAGCACTGAAGAGATCAATTACTTGATCAAGTTGGCAGCATGTCGCTTTCAGTTCATGTATGGAAAGGCCCATGGACTGGCGTATCTGTTAGATCCTCGCTTCATTGGAGAGGGCTTGAGCCTGGCTAATCGAAAAGAGCTGGAGAACATTTAACTGGAGACACCAATCGAGGATGAGACGGCAGTTAATGACGAGAGGCGCCCTTTATGCAGCTCACCGAGTACGTCATTTCGGCGCAGCAGGAGGATGCCGGCGGGTTTAGATTAATTATGCTGCTCAAGGGACGTAAGACACCTTTGCCGTATTGGCAGTCTGACGGCGTGGCCTGGCCCGATCTTCAGAAGATCGGCATCAAGCTGTTCACGATGGCGATATCCTCTGCAGCCTCGGAGCGCAACTTCTCAAAAATGGGCTTCATACACAGCAAGCTCAGGAACAGCTTGGCGCCCAGTTCCGTGGAGAAGTTGGTCTGCCTCAAGAGCAACTTGCGGCGTTCGCCGAATGCAGTTCTATGTCCAAGGCGACGACATGGATTCGTCAGAGGACTAGTACTGATCTGGGAGTATTGCGAATAAAACCACGATGTTTATTAGGTTTATTAAGGTTCTAACGTTAAACCTCAAATTCGGATCTGAAAAAAAAAGTTTTTTTCCACTCCTGACAAATACTCGCATAATCATTTCTGAAGATGGAATTCTTAGAAATACAAAAGGGCGTTTTCCGGCAAAGCCTCCTTTGATATACAGTACTTTTATGAATACGTATTTACAATTGAGGTTAATTAATAACATTTATTCCATCTTGACTTAAAGCTTTCGTGACTGCAGGAATTCGTATTCTTTGGGTCTTTCGGTAAAGTCACGTAGATCGGTTCAAATTAATAAAAAAAAGAAACAAAAAACTACGACGTTTCGATCACAACACAAACGATCGTCATCAGGAGGAAAAATAGTGAATGTATGTGTATTGTCCTTTCTTCACATACTTTGAGAGTATTTTTTTTATTTTTAAACAAACATTTGCTATTGCCGTTTGCCTTTTGGTATAAAAAACTCACTTTTGATATCCATTAATTCACCTATCCCGTTATATCACGAGGGTCACGGAGATCCCTTTAGCAGAGGCCATTCTGCCAGCAGTGGCGTGAGCAAGAAATTACAGGGCTGCACCTACATGAGTTTCGTGATTTTAATTGTTTTTTTATATAGCGCCCAATATTCTAAGGCGCCTGAGAAAGCTTTAAATCGCATCTCAAATATGTGAACGTGTATCCCCCCCCCCACCGTGACTCAACACCTGGCCTACAAACTTGTATTTGTATGTATTATGAACTTCTTTCTCGCCGTACGAAGCCAACCGTGCCGATCAGTGGTGCGGGGGAAATTGCAGGTGCCAGTAAGAGGTGATGATTGCCGTGTGTAATCCCAATTGAACAATTTGTAGATATTTGAACTGGGCAAATCTGGGACCCTGACACTGCAGTTGCTCTTCTCGTCAATCGGTAAACGGCGACAGCACAAAGTGGCAGCGACAAAGATGCACCTCTGATGAACACCTGTAAGAAATTATATTAAACTGCTCTCGTCCAAACATGAGATCACCATATCAAATTTTATTGTGAATGTGCCACGCACTATTGCCCACATTATACCATAATCATAAAGATTACCTGGAGAGAATGGTTAAACATTCTGAATCATCTTTTCATTAAGAAATACAAATAAACAAAATAATATTAAACGGCTCACATCACACCACACAGTGCAAATCAGTTAAAGTATCCATACCGCATGTTCATGTATTCTAAGGACATTGTTCAAAAGATAAAAAAAACACATTATTTTCTGCCAGGGCTCATGAGAGGATAACCAGATCGAATGGATTGTGAGTACGGGTAGTGGAATGATTGCTGCAAGAAATTGGTGAAGGAATGGTCATGCCCCAATAGGCCAAAACACCAAGGGAGTAGAACACGATGTTATAATGAATTATTTCTACCTTTTGACAATGATTAAATTATACATATAAATACATTTAAAACACAACACCATAATACATATAGTCACAAGTATGTGCATAGGAGCGTAATTTTACAGTTACTCGTTCAGTTTTGTCTATTACAGTTACATTTTTCCCAACAAATATTAAATGTCTTAGCTATGTTGTTTATTCACATTGTTCAACAAGAACAGCTTGCACCACAGCAACATGTGCTTAAATGTTTAAAAAATATATATTTTTGTGAAACATGGCCTAGATACCAACGTGTATTAACAAAATAAAAAAACCAATACCGTACACCAACCCGATTCCCGAGAAGACTACCCCTGATGAAGCTCAAAGCAGTTTGAGCGAAAAGTCGATGTTAAATTCAGCCACGAACAATTGTAAGCCACCGGTAAGGTTCATTGTTAAGAATATGATCGATACATCAATTGGCATGTATATTATATTTTCATATTTGTTGACGCATACATTTAAACACATTTTTATAGATCGAAGCATTACTTGTGCCAAATTTCAGCTCTCTTGTCTTTCTCGAACTTCATGAGAATCTATGTCAGTGATTATCATTTATGTGTTTGAAAACAAGTGATAATTTCCAGTCTCTTGTTAATCCACTGCTGGATGAAGCTATGTCTGTCACGGGGGTTTTGTGATCATACTTCCCCACACTGATTATTAGTAGCGATAATTATTGAAGAGGGGAGGCCACGACTAGTTCGGATATAACTCGATAATGACGTTAGCCGGGGCGGGGAATCAACCACAGGTCACCAGGTTCGTAGTTCATTGTACTCACCACTGCACCACCGCTTTTCACATGTATTAAGTAATTTAAACGTAAATCCATAGACTGCAAGAGCAAGTTTACTGAGGCCAGCTCTCTAGTCCTTGTAGAACAGCACGATCATTTACGTGTGTGTGTGTGCACGTGCAACTGTGCAAGAGCTACCCCATCAACACTGCACAGGACAGTGATGCTAGTCAGGGGTCCAGACACTCTGTGGAAGTTAGATTGCAGATGGGATCTGGGAGTTTCAAGCCCCACTTGATCAACGAGGCATTTTATGCTTTGATTATACTAAATATATGCGACTATTGGCTTCTGACTCCGAAGCCAACGATTCCTTATGCATTTAAAGTTTCTGTCATCATTATCAATGACGTCACATTGTTAAAGGCAGGAAAAACCATGGAAACTGAAAAACACTGAACTTGTACCCAATAATGTTTTGGGAGTCTCTTGGCCTTATCTCAAAATGCTGAGAGGGTTGGGGACATCCACGACACTCCCAGTGGCAGCACCACTGGCTTGATATCGACTCTGCACATGTGGGTTTGGTCAGTGGTCTGCAACCAAAATAACAAAAGCAGCCATTTTTTTCGAATTCGGTAAAAAAAACTCCATATTTTATGAGCCGCAATGCACGTGAATACGAGACGTTCCTTGATAAATAACGTCACGAAGCAGTCCTTAAAGATCCGCAGGTTGTCGACCTCTGAGCTAAGGGATTCAGGGACCCGAACCCAGTGATTGAGAATCTCAAAGCTTGGCTAATGGAAAGCTGTGGGAATTAAAGGACAACACAGTAAATGTGTCTCAACTAACATTTAGGAAGCAAATTACAAAATAAAGAAACATATTTCTGGGCTAATACACATTCTTGTAGACCAAACTGGCTCAAGGCCATATTTTACATATGTTTACCAGCACATTTTATAAATCAGAATATTTTCAGATGAAAACATTGCTACTGCCCACATGCACTTTAAATGTTTACAAAATTACATGCCCGATATTGCACGGGATTTAAAAACAAGTCTGTTTTTTTTGTGCTTTTGAGCGACAATTCCAAAGGCAGTGGAGGATGACATTAATTTTCTCCAACTCCTAAAACCGATGAAAATATAATTCCACCCCATGTCTGAAATCTTTCCAAAGTCTCACATAATACAACCTGTATGGGTATGAAGAGATAACAACTCAACACTTTGTATCATACTGGTAGACTTTAGTGATTATTTTCACTTTGATCATGTTTCCCTTTAACTAAGCCTGGACTCAACACTGATACATACACCACAGGTAAACATAGATAGTTAAATACTTGGTAATTCGACAAAATGCATAAACTATTTTGGATTCTTATGTATATGTCTTAATGTCCAAGTGTCTTTACCAAATATTCACCAAGTACCATTCAGTATGTACATGTACAGCCACGTCAATCCCCTGCTGGACGAGGGTGTCTCCGTGCCGTGCGGGGGGTCGTGGGAACTTATTTGACCATTCTTCATCACGCTGAAAAGTGTGTTTATGAAGAGACCTTCCATCAGCATTAATATAAAAATAAATTCTACAAAGTAAAAATATGTATTAACAAGGATTGTTATTAGCCACTGTCTATATTCAGCAGATTCTATATCGCTACAGGAGGCAATTATATCATGATACCTTTTTTGTCAGTATCAAAGTATGAAAAATAAGAATAGGCTTTACCCTTTCTGGCAATAAAACAGGTGTTAAGATGTTCAAATACCAAATAGAAACCTTTTGCAAGGAATGAAGTCTGTATTCACCACGTGATTGTGGTGAACATACAAACAGTACAAAGACAATGCACGTATCACAGCATTTATAGCTCGGGGTGAGGAGCTGCTCACCCTCGGGATAGTCTGCTGCTCACCCTGCACTGCCTTTGTGCTGTTCGCCTTTTGGCGTTCTCTGGTCTGACCCCGGTGAGACTAGGCAATAAAGAAGGCTGTCTCTGGTGTAGGCCAATCAGTTTCAAAGATAATGCATATATTATCAGAGTTTGTTTGCATGTTCAACATAAGTACGTGTGGTTAATACAGACTTTATTTCCTTGCAAAAGGTTTCTATTTGGTGTTTGAATATCTTAATACCTGTAGTATTGCCAGAAAGGGTAGAACCTACTCTTATTTTTCGGGCATTTATAATCCCCGCGATTGACCCCAAATACAGAGCCTCTCAGGCCAGGTCAAAAACAAAAACGAACCGTAATTTATACAATGCACTCACACCTTGCATGTAAATCCAATCATTGGCGCAGCTATCAAGTGTGCAGGTGGTGAAACTGCACCGTTGCTTACATGTCAGTGGGGCCCAGATTCTGGGTTACAAAAAAAATGGAGGGGGCTCATGCCAACCAGGCTTTGCCACTGAATTTAGAATACTTAATTTACAATATAAACACAACTCACTATATATCTGTGGAATAAATGACCACGGATATATAGTGAGGTCCCTTTAGAGAAGATTGTCACCCTTTTTACTTTCCAGAGACCAAACTCGGACATTTTCAGTCAGCCGAGGTCTATCGAGACTGTGCAGTGCACTGTTAAATACCAGTCAACCCATATTCTTGTACAGGGAAAAATAGTTTTCATGCCCATACGGCGTACAGCTGTTTCAATATGGGCAACATCTTTTTATATTTGTGTTTCTCCCTTGTGATGGGACTTTCTAGGATGAACGATGAGATGTATAAGGGCATAGTGTGACCAATAATGTCCGAATTGGTCTGTAATAAAGTAGGCACTGATAAGGGGTTGACAGGAATGCTGTTAGAAAGTTTAACACGACGCCACCAGATCTCGGTAAAATTCAATTCTTGCCACCTGACAACAGATACCAATTTCCCGGACTCTCTGGGTCAAACCCAGGTCATACCAGTCAAACCTGGAAAGGTGGACACATTGGGTCTCTACTCCTAAGGGTTGCCGACGTTCACCGTGACGTTCGTATAGAGTGGGTCGAGTTTTTTTTCCACCAGCGAGTACTGAAGTGAGTTGATGCCGTCTTTCCACATCGTGTTGCTGGTTGACTGAATCAAGTTGAACCTACACACACGCAGCACACGCACAGCACACGCACAGCACACGCAAAGACAAAGATTCGCCATGTAACTTACAAAGGTGGTTGTGGAAAGTGCTGCAAGCACCTATGAGGGCCGGAATGGCACATGAGCATGTGGGTGTGGCCAGAACCTTCCCCGGCCACCTTTGTCTCTCGAGTGCTGGTGTATACACAATGCATTAGATACTCATTTAGGACTAAATAAACCGAGTGGAGGTTCATGACCAGTCAGCATAATCATCACCACTGTTAGACATAGTTTGGTGTTGAACCCGGGTGACTGGGTTTACAACGCAGTCCACTAAACACGGTGCCTACGACCGCATCACCAAGAATTAGAGGCCGAACGAAATTTGGTTTTGGTTTCGGCGCTGAAAGTTGTCAAATGGCCTCTTTTGGCATAGTTTCGGCCAAAAGTCAATTTTTTACTTTCGGTTTACTTTTGGTTTACTTTCGGTTTTGGCCAAAAGTAAATTTGTAACTTTCGGTCTGGTTTAATTTTCGGCTGAAACCAGAAATTCAGTTTTGGTCGGCCTCTAAACTACACTCGCGCATGCGACTCCGGGCAGCGGCGGCGGCGGTGGTTGATGGCAGACGCACACACGCACACTCAAGCAAGGATGGGGGAGAGAGGGGTGTGGTGGTGGTGGTGGGGGGGATAAGACAGACGACGGAGAAGAATAAGAAAAACATTACTTCCCCCCCAAAACCACCAAACTAGCGAGCAGCAGCAGCAAGCAGCACACGCGTAGCCAGCACTCGCAGCAGCAGCAGCCGTCCACCAGGAGCACTTTTGTTTGAGCGGCTCAGAGGCTGGGCTCTCACAGGCAGCTCGAGGCACGCACCACACACACACACGGGTGCACGCACAGTACACAGACACGCGCATGCACTGAGCAGATTATAGCAGCGTGCTGATGCCAACAGTGTGCATACGTGCACGTACACACTCATCCGCCCACCAGTCACACACACACCAACCTACCCACCACCCTTCCAATGATCCAATTCATTTACCGCTCATTATTGGGGCATTGGGAACACCGGATCACCTCATTTAAAGCTTGCTGTTGGCCATTTCTAATCGGTATATATCGTGGCTTCCTGGTCTAAAAGCAATACGATTGTGTTACTTCACAAGGATCATAGGACTCCATACAATGCCATTTATTTGCCTCTCGTTTCTGCTCATGCAACGGAACTGTGTTCACGCATATGAACTGTGTTCACGCAACGCACACCACGCGCTGAGCCGATGCTGGTCCAACTCGCCTTTGTGGGTTCGGCTCGTTGTTCTTGTCATTCGTGTGCTTTATCATTCGGTATCGGCCAATCTCGCCCGATGGTCGAGAGATGTGCATTCCAGCCAGAGACACTCTGTGGGGGTGGCGGGGGAAGACAAAAGTGGAAAATGCAACTCCATCCTGCCTGCAACATCACAACTTGGGTTGCACCCTTTAGGAGGTACAAACAACATTCATTGCTAAGATATCACAATACAGTAAAACTTCGTTATTTCGGTATTTGATCATTCGTAATTGGGGATAATTCGGCACGGCTGCACTTTCCGTATATATACAGTACGAGTAATTCACCATGAGCCGAATTGCCATACCGAATGGTCCAATTTCGGCATACACGTAGAGCGACGCTGTGCGCCACGACCAAAACAACGACTCAGTCTGGTGGCGGCACATGCGGTGAGCGTTAGTGCAGACCTGTTGCTTCGGAATTGACCTTGTTTATGCACTCTGTGCAAGCCAACACTCTCAGACATGTCGTCTTCACCTACATCAAGAAGTGATAGAAAGGGACCGAAGAATAAATCCCATATTCTATACTTTTTTTAACATACCAGTGAATACACCCAATCACTGTACTTTATGTTTTCGTGTTGGTGATCTAGGCCACTTTCAAGTGAGAGGGGTCCAGATATCTTGAGTTCTCACCTGGTTCAACAAACAAACTAGAATTGTAACTATATTATACATTAATCAGTACAAGACATACATTTCCCCTTTAGATGTATTTCTAATGAGCAGCCCAAATCTCCTTTGGATATGACTGTCTGCCTCCGGACTTAGCGTCCTGCCAACCAGAAAAAAAGTTTTCAAATTCTTCCCAGCGAGCACACCGTGCTATGTCGAGGCTGTTTAATAAGCTAAGATGCAGGCATTTCCGCCACTCGTGGCATACATCAAGCTCATGTGCCTTGGTCCAGCTGGTTTTGGCAACCTGCACCCAGTGACTCGCGACTTGATTTGGTGTAACCGGTGGTCGATTGCGCCCTGGTGATCACTGGGCAGCACCGAGCTTGCGGACAAGTTGCTCAGGCCCTTCCTGCTTCATTTACAGAAGTGTGCATTGGTGACGAGTTCCTTCCAGCGAGAACGCCGCATGATGTTGAGGTTACCAATCAGATGAGTCGTTACCTCCAGGTAGCCAGACTGCTCATATTGTCGAAGTAGCTCGGTACACTCGGCATCAAGACTCGGGGCATAGATGGCATAAACACCACGTGGTATGGTCTTTGTGGCTGGTAGTATTAAGTTTTATTGTTTCCTTCTTATTTTCACGATCCTTAGTGTAATATTTGCACACAACCTTTTTTTTTATTTAGATACCATAGCACTGGTCGCGCATTTGCACGGGATCCATGGCCGGGGTGGAGGGTGGGTAGGCGTGATGTCTGTACTATGCACGTGTAATGTAGCTCTCAGAGACACCGTCTTGTCTTTCTGTATATTTATTATGAATAAAGTCCGCTGACAACTCAACGAGTAACCACGAGTGACTATATACACTTGGGAAATTAGACGACTCTATTCTGGGATAGCATAGCTTCTAGTCTCAAGATAACGAAGACGATAGAGATGACCCATTCCAAGGTGATGGCGACGAAGGCGATTCCCCACACCAACAGCCCCCAGGTCCGGTGTGTGCCTCACCCGATCCGACCACGCACCTATTCTTGAATTCTCCTCACCACACCTGCCTCTGTCAATCTCCACCCTTATTACACTTTCCCGTCATTGGATCCCGTGCTCCCCCTCACGTGACCCTGTCAACGCTTGTCCCATCAATCATCATTAGCACATCCATTAGTAACCATGGTCCCGGGGAACCACACTGTCCCTCTATCCCTCCTACTGTCTTTACATGTGTAAGGGCAGTACGGGGTGATGTAGGGACAGTACGGCTCCCCATAGCCATGGTTACTAATTAACGTAGGGAACAGACAGTGTCACATGGAACCTAAGTGGTCGCTAATAATGATTGATGTGACAAGCTTTGACAGGGTCGTGTGAGGGGAAGCACGGGACCTAACGGTGGTAAATTATAATAAGGGGAGAGACAGACAGGACCAGGTGCTATGAGAGAGGGCTTGGGGAAAAGGGGTGTGGCCAGGTCGTGAGGGGGATAAAAGCCGCCGTGAACCGGGGCTCTGGGCTGCTGTTGTGGGGGAACTGCCGTCGCCGTCATCACCTTGGAGCAGGTCGTTTTCATCATCCTGGAGTGGGCACCTTGTAGTCTTGGAAGTCGAGAGTTATGTTGTCTCAGAATAGAGTTATCTAAGTTACCCAAGTGTATATAGTCTCAGAGCTACATTACACATGGACCCGGATCAATGTTGCGAGATGACTGTGTCGCGCAGATATGCGCGGTAATGTTATTACTGTGCACGCACACTTTAGTAGTAGCCAGTCAGGAATCCAGCCAGGAGGGCAGCCAGTCAACAAAACTTTTTTTCTAATGTAGCATGATGTATAAAAAATAAAAGTGAAGCTGCCTTGGCATTATAAAACGAACTTTTATTTCATATCGCAGTACCTCGGGGTACCAAATAATACAAAATGGTGAGGCAATGAAATATTTGATTTCTGGGACACTTTTTATCCAGGGGTGTACTTAACTCCGCGACTGGGGTACCAATGAATTCGAGATCAGTGCTACTCCGCGATGTCGAAATGCCAAACTTTAGCATAAAAAATCCGTTATAAAAAAATCTACTTTGAATAGTGCATCGTGTACAGCTCTTCGAGATGAGTCGTTTGCCGCATCACGGACATTATGCGAGAGCCGGGGTACCGCCATAAGGTTCATATGCAGCTATGTCCTCGTCGTGTCCTCCGCAAGTACCCAGTCATGTGAGCTATGTCTGGGAAAACCAAAGCTGCAGCTAGCTGGCCGAATCGTCATGATCCTGGCCAATACGTGACTATAGTCACACCAGTTACACCTCCTGTCCAGGGCTTAGGCTCCAGGGCTGTGGGGCCAGCACTCCGTGTTCTTCAGCTTAATGTGGAAGGAATATCAGAGGCTAAACGTGATGTCATTCATGAAGTAGCCACTTCACACAATATCGACATCGTCTGCTTACAGGAGACACATGTTTCTGACGACCAAGCAGAGAGTTTCGAGATAGCTGAATATGACCCCTGTCTGTTGCTCACTGCACCCACAATATGGCTGTGCAATGTATGTAAAATGTGAACTGGTTGACGTCGAACTGCTGCCGCCCTCTGTTATCTGTGGTCCTGTGCGCATTGCCTCTTATACAGTCTGCAATGTATATAACCCCCAAAATTGCTCATGGGGTATACCAGTCAGTCTACCCAAGTTTCAGCATTCTGCGATATACGTTGGAGTTTTAACAGCCACCATACAGAGTGGCAATATGCAGTGTCTGATGACAATGGCAAGGCGCTTGTGGAGTGAGCATCACAGTACGATTTTCACTTGGTACACGACCCTCAACAGCATGGCACCTTCCACTTGGCTAGGTGGAAACGTGTCAGGGTATGCCGGGTGAGCCGATTGCCCTGCACGTGCCGGAGGAGGCTGCAAAATGGCTCTGTGGCTATGTGGGCTGACGTTCGCTCAAATAACATGTGTTTATCTAGAAATATTGTAAATGTATCTAGTGCTTTGACTGTGGTAAGTCGCGTCAAAGAGCATTCGCTAAATTAATATATACTTTTTTCGAAATGGCCAGCTTGTCCAGATTATGCTTCTCCAGTCTGATCCAGTTTCTTAACTCATAATCAGTGCCCTGTCATAACCAGCTTCTCCAATCACAACCAGTTTCTTCAACCATAAACACTTGTTTTAACCCAGAATTCAAGGTCAGCATTATCGGCTATCCAGGCAGTCCTTGACTTATGCACATCCGCATTTACGAACCAGGTTCCACGAGATATATATATATTTTAACATAGACTTAAAACGCGAACTCTCACGTGAACTGTGGAACTATTTTGTTAAGCGGAGCGATCCTCCGCAAGATGTAATGAGTCAGCCTCGCGCTGCGAGTGTGTATGTGCACGCATGTGTGTGCGCGCATGTATGCACGTCTGGTAAAAACAACCCCCTACCTTCTCGTTGGTGCTGGACGACAACGCTGTGGTGGGCAGTGTCGTGGGGGGAGGGCCAATTTAGATTGTCCATTCCCCTCATGGCATTTGTAACCACCACAGCGGCCAAATGGGGGCTCTGTACAGGTGCGAGGGGCTGGTAACCTCTCCACCTTCATATAATTACCACAAAACCACGATGAAAACATTTCATTAAGCTTGTGCTGGAGTCCCTGGTGGGACAGGCGTCTACGACGTCTCCCAGCCAAACTCCATTTGGCAGAGCTAGGAGACTGAATCCTCACCCTGGAGTCTCCTCCAGAAAAAAACTAAAAAACACTACGGGTGGTCACGTGGAATGTTCGAACGCTCACTGCGGAGGAGAGGCTGCCACTCCTTTGTCGGGAGCTGAACTGGTACCGCCTGGATCTCTATGGTATTCAGGAGGTCTGGTGGACCAGCTCTGGCTACTGCCACCATGAGGGGTGGGCAGTCCTCTACTTGGGGCAGGAGACTGCCAAACAACAGGGAGTGGCTCTTCTTCTGAACAAAAGAATGAAGAGGGCGTGGGAGCGTGGTGGCGAGTTGTGGGAAGCTGTAAGCCCCAGGCTACTTTGGCCTCGTCTTCCCATCAACCAGAGGTGAAGAGTGGTGGTCGTGGTTACTTATGCCCCCAACGAAGACGAATATCCGTGGAGGAATGCAGGCAAGGCCGATGAGTCAGATGCCTTCTATGACCTCCTGTCACAGGTGCTAGCTAAAGTGGCCCCTCGGGATAGAGTGATCTTGTTGGGTGACTTCAATGCCCGAGTTGGTCATGATGCTGGCACCTGGTCTGGAGTGATTGGAAGGAATGAGCCAGATCAGCTCAATAACAACGGCAGGAAGCTGCTTGATTTTTGTGCAGCCCATGGGCTTGTAATTACCAACAAGCTTTTCTGGCATCGGCACATCCACACATCATGGATGCATGCTGGGTCTAAGCAAGAACATCTGCTGGACTACATAGTGGCGGAACAGTGG